TTTACAGAACCGCTCTCTATCATGCCGAAAAAGCTCTCATAATTAGAGCTACCTTGCCAAAGTCTCAAATGAGCGTCATATCAATGCCATTACATTTGGAAGGCCCAAAAACTCCCTAATACCAAATTTCGGCTCATTTAGACGCTTCTGGACTATTTTAGGGCCAACTTATACAAAACATAAGTGTTTCATACTATTCCTATGCTGCCCACATGAGCCAATTTCCGTATCTTGAAAATGTGGTATGCGATTTCGTGATTGCACTAAAAGGTCATAACTCTCGCATCCTAGGGCCAATCGAGCCTAAATTTTGACATGTTCTTGATCGTGTCGAGTCGCACATTTTGATATAAAATACGGCCTAAGATGATACATGGATTGAGAGAAATCTTGGAAAGAAGTGGCTCTCAAAACCTCATGTGTTGCGAATTTTTAAAAGTGAAACATCCTCCCACTTAAGCAATGTGCTCCGACATCGGATGGATTCAAATATAGGTCTGTTGCAACTGGGATTCGAAGAGCTTCGGTTTGAGGTAAGATGTGAACAAAATAAAGACTAGGAGGATACCCGTTTTTCTCTAGAAAGAAGGCATACTTTTCGGTTGTTGAAATCTCATTTTCTGAAGACTTTCAAAAATGCAAACGTGACTAAATGACCACCAAATAAATGAATTTTCGTTGTAAACTTTTTACAATGACCTTCCCTTTGATTTGTTACCAAGAAAATGATCGAAAACAGAGCAAGACGAGCTCGATCGGATGAAGAAAATTTCAAGTTCATGGGTTTGGTCGGAATTTGGGAACGACCTTAAAACTTCGATTCAAGCCCAATAATGCATATCAAAATGATCGTTGCGGCGCAACCATCATGTTTCAGGTGTTGGACCGTCCGAAAGCTTGCAGAAAAATGCCCAAAAGAGCCCCGAACCACAAGGAAGGCAAAATACCCCCTTTTAGGGATGGTTTTGTCATTTTCATGAAAGTTGGAAGGGGCAAAAGGGTCATTTTACATCAAAAACGATATTCACTTTAAATTACAATATATATTTTTGAGAAATTTGGCATTGTATTGATCATCCACCCATGTTTGGGGGGATCTTATCAATGCTCTTTTTCACCATTTGTAACCTAAGTTGGAGATAATTTGAAAGCTAGTGTTTTGATAGCTTGAGTTTTCGTATTGAGCTTTCATTCTTCTCTTCAAAGAGAGAGGAGATAGAATATTTTAACCTTGAGAGCAATACCCCTAGGATCTTACACCATACTCCCTACCCTAGCCACTCTAGTCCATCCAATCCTACACTACACCATACACCATACCCATACTCCACACCCATACCCAAGTTAACCCTCAACCCAACTCACCTTAGCCAACCATCATTCTAGCCCACACCTAAGCTAGCCCTCACCCTAGCCCACCTTAGCCAACCCCCACCCTAGCTCACCCAAGTTGACCCTCACCCTAATCCACCTTAGTCAACTTCCCCCTAACTCACCTAAGCTAGACTTTACCCCTAAGACCTAGCCTCTCTCAAGAGTACTCAAAGGATCCAAAGATTATTCCTAGCTGACGGGCTCCAGCCCTCTTCGCACCCACCTAGGTAACCGATCTATCTCTCTCCTCTTTTTTTCTTCTCTCTGATCTTTTCTTTTCTTTTTCTCTCTTTCCTTCTCATACTCTCTCTCTACAGAGGGGACAGCCTAGCTGCCCCCTTTCTTTCTCTCTCTTTTCTTGTCTCTCTCTCTACCTCAAAGGAGACGGCTTAGCCACCCCCTTCTTCTTCTCTCTCTCTCCCGTAAAGGAGACGGCCTAGCCGCCCCTTTCTCTCTCTCTCCCTCTCTCCCTCTCAAGGGAGGCGGCCAAGCTACCACCTTTTTTTCTCTCTCTACCTCTCTCTATCTCTCTATCTCTCTCTCTGCCCCTCAAAGGAAGCAGCCAGGCTGCCCCCCCTTTTCTCTCTTTTTCTCTCTCTCTCTCTTTCTCCCCCCGTCAAGGGAGGCGACTAGGCCGCTGCCCTTTTCTCTCTTTCTCTTTAGCTCTCTCTCTATCTGGTCTCTCTCTCTCTCCTCAAGGGAGACGGCCTAGCTGCCCCCTCTCTCTCTTTCTCTCTATCTTCCTCCCTCTTCTCTCTCACAAGGGAGGCGGCCTAGCCACCCCCACCTCGTCTCTATCTTCTTTCCTTTCTTCCCCACCCCATACTCTCTTACTCTCTCTTCTTTCCTTTCTTCCCCGCCCCATACTCTCTTACTCTCTCTTCTTCTCCTCTCTTCTCCTCTACCTCACCCTCGTCTCTCTCTCTTCCACCTTTCTTCCACTCCATTCTCTCTCCTCTTCTACCTCTTCACTTTTTCTTATCTTGTTCTCCTTTCTTTCTCTACCTTCTCTCCGATCACTCATTTCCGAGGCTCTTCAGGAGTGAGGACTCTTGACACCCTCCTCTCTCTCTCTCTTCCCAACGTTTTCCCTGCCAATATTGCAGAGCCCATCTGAGCTTGCCTTCTCAATTTTGCTTAGCCATTGCAATAAATCAATGCTCCAAAGGCCTCAACCAATCTTTTATCTTTCAGTCATCATTTTGGGATCCATTGTTGGCCTATATTTTCTAGAACCATCATCCATCTTTCAACGCTTCTCTCGGTTATCCTTGCGTAACCAGGTATGAGAATTGAGTATTCGATTTATGGTTTTTTAATAAATATGTAAATATTGGATAAGAAACAAAAAAAAAAGAGAGTTTATTTTTGAGTCATATGAAAATATCTTTTTGGAGTAGGCTCCCTCATTAACTTTCAATTTTTTTTTACAATTTGAAAAGCATAATCAATTCTAAGTTATAGAGTCACTATCTAGCGGACTTCAACTTGTTTTTTATCGAACTATTTCTTGAATCCCCTTGTTCAATTAGGGGTTTATTGTGGGGGATTGTCTACAAAAGAGACCATTTATATTTTGTACATAGAGGTCACAATTATTCTCACTCATTAGCTGTCAAATTGGATGGCTTGGGGTGAGTCACGAAGTCTAAAAAAAAAAATTTCTGAGATTTTGTATCTATTCAATGACACTCTTACAACCACCTATTTTGACCTTTAGAGGACAAAAATGATTGTGACATCTACGTACAAAAGATAAATGATATCTTTGTAGACAATTCCTATTGTGTGTTAGGTTAAATACGACATTTTATGCTATATTTGTATTGGTTTCCCAACTCTCCTTACCTAGTAAACTCCATGCTATTTACAACTGATTTGCCAAATAGGCATACCTGACTAACTAAGGAAAATATGTATAAGCCAAAAAGATCGAGTTGCACCTGCAGGTACATGCTTCATCGAACGAAAATCCTTCACCATTTTCATGACCCTGAATATCTAGACATCGTCAAAGACCATCAAATTATCGGATCGAGATATCTGCATGTTTAAAACCCAAAATCCTTTGAAAATGCACAAGTACATATAAAATATTGGAAGCGATGCAAAATTTGACGGCACAATCTGCTGTCACGGTGGCTTGTCGTTTGTGGGACCGTTGCACTCGGGTTCGAATCCCCTTCTTTGTTACACTCCGACGCCCTCAAATGGCCAGCCCTTCCTTTGTCTCTCTCTTCTTTGAAAAGGTATTCTAAGATACCTTGTTTTTTATGTGGGGGAGGATTTTCTCCCAAACATGCCTACCTTTGGTTTATTTTTTTTGTCTCCATTTAATGTGCGAGCATCGTTTTTTTCTTTTTGGCCGAAGGGGAGCGCATACAGTGGTCTTGCAAAACCAAATTGACTCGGCTTTTATTCTTTTATAGCACCACCAAATATTTCTCTATAAATAATAAATAAATGAAGAGTTATGATATGGTGTTATAGTGTAATTTATCATTGCACTCAATAAATTTTAGACACTTATACACCATTGTTTTGTATTTGGAGCAGTTTTTTAATAAGAGTATTTTTAGATATTAGGAGAGGTGTAACATCATCTATATGGGGTGTAACATCATCCATATGGGATATGACATCACCCATATGGAACATACTAGTAGCATTTAATGCTTCATTTAACAGACAAATGAATCCCAATAAAAACAGGCTGTTTTTGTGAAAGGTTGAGATCTTACTTGTAGAAATAAGGTTGCGATACTCTACACCGTCCATTTTATTCGCACAGTGTAAATTTGACACATCTTATAAAACAACGTCATACATGACATGCTTCTTTAGATATTATCCAATCTATAATGTCATGTATAAAATGGGCGATGTAGATGCAACCTTATATAAATATTTTCCATGAGGGAAAACAATTGTTGGCTGTGTAGATCACAAAAAATTAACTTTTTATATGATAATTTATCCCCTTTTTTTTTGTTTGAACAATTCCAAATAAGAAATTTTATCAAAATGCAAATGAAAGAGCAATAATTTCCTATTTTGATTTAATTCTAAAATACTCATCAAATAATACATGACCATGTATTGGAATAGTTAAAAGACAATAAATAGTATTATTGAAAGTTAGGTATGTTTTGATAAATTTCCTTTAAAAAAGGACTCCCAAACCCTAAGATCCGGTCTCTTTTAGAGTCTATCTTTGAGGGGAATTGATTTGAAGCATTCTTTGAACTACAAATCGTACGTTCTTTTTCATTTCTTTTTTTATAACTTGATTATTAGTTTGACTAAAGATGATATGGGAATTCTAAAAGAAATTTACGTACAGACCATATTAAGGGGGTCAATTACAAAATGGGATCACGTTTGTGCCAAATTACATGCGGCATACTGACCCTGTACATTTATTTTTCCCTCAAGTGCCCCTCTGTCTAGTAAATTGAGCGCCTGTCCGGTAATCTGAACACCTGTCCGATGTTCAAACTATCGGACAACTCTTTAAGTTTTTAAGTTTGTTGTCTAGTATTCGAAATATCGAACAGGAGATATTTATTTTACAACATTAAAAACCTATAAGGTGTTCAAATTACTGGACAGGTATTTGGCTCCTTTTAAGCGAAAAAAGCCCCATTTTTCTGCCCTACTCTACCGGGCAGCTTTGCTATTCTTCTCTCTCGCTCTCTCTTTACCAAGCCTAAGCCAAAGCCCAAGCTTGCACTTTTCTTGCTTAATATTTGCTCAAGCCGAAGCCTAATCTTCTCAAACCACAATCGAATCAGGTATATCTTCGAAATTTTTTATTTTTTTGGAGAAAATTAGTTTTGTGGGATTAGGGTTTTGGGGATAAAATAGCCCCAAAACATGTGAAATTTATGATTAGAGTTTTTGGTTCACTTAGGAATGTTTATTTGATTGTGATTGAAAATGAGATTTGGGTGATTAAGGTTTTGGAGATAAAATAACCCCAAAACATGTATTGAAAATGAGATTTGGGTGATTAAGGTTTTTTTAACGCACAATTTTTTTATTTATTTTTGGTAATTTACCATGTATCTTTGTATATCTATCTTGAGTTTGAAATTATTTTTTTTGTTAATTTACCATGTTCTTTTTCTTTTTTTTTCTTTTTTCTTTTTTTTTTCCTTTTTTTTTGAGCTTGTTTATTTAGATTTCTACGTGTGATGATTATAGTATACTCTTCCTTTTCTTTTTTAGCTTTTTTTTTTTTTTAGGTTGTTCATTTATCTCTGAGCACCACAACTTGTTGGTCGCCGTCTTTTCTGATTCTTTTTGTCTATTTATAGGTTTTTCTCTTTCAATAGAAGCTAACATTTTCATCACAAAAAAAAAAAATACTTCCCCTTTTTCAAATTTTCTAAAAACTGAACTGTGATTTGTCAGTGTGATATCTAGCTCAAATTCTAATAACTGATAATGTTATATCGAATTTGCAACAAAAAAAAAAAAAACAAGTAAAGAAACTCATGTATACATCATGTGGCTGTTCCTTTATCATGTCGTTTTTATGTTAAATTTGTTGTTTGAAAGCCCCATGTTTGTTATGAGCGTGTGAAGATGCAATCTCCATCTCTTTGTATCGTATATGTGCTTATATTTATTTAAGTGGTGAGCGGGTACTAGTTAATATCGACCTTCTTAATAAAGTTTTGTTTCTATGATATTCACAACGTCTCATTCTTTTTATCTCTAAAACTTTCCATTTTTTGGAGTTGAATGACATTGTTCTAAATGAAAGTCATATAAAGCAATTGTAATAATAACAAACCGAATAGAAGTATTCTTTTTTACTAGTTAGTTCTTATTGAAATATGTGCATTCTTTTAAGTCATATCCCTTCACTGTGAGTCGTGTTTTATAATTTTCTCCGCCTTCATCATTGCACCCTTCTATGATCCCCAAAATAACATAATATTGGAAATAAACATATATTGAATAGGGATTGTATACAATGAGACCATTTACCGTCCATTCAAGGTCACAATTCGTTACAACAATTTGATGTGAAATTTGATAGCTTGGATGTGGCACAAAGTTCAAAAAAAATTCTTTTGAAGTTTGAGCTTGGTCAATGAAAGATTGTACCAACGCAATTTTACATCTAATGGTCAAAATTAATGTGATCATCTTGTATTAAAGACAACTAGTCTCATTTTATAATTTCCCTAATGAATAATTGAGTTTCATGACTGGTTATTTGTATGTGACTATACTTTGAATTTTTTGTTTCTTTTTATTTATTGAGATGATTTTGGGTTAAGGTGAAATTGGTTATGTGTATGTCATTTACTTTAGCATGCATGTTACCAGCACATCATAACATGCATTTCAGAGTGTATGGAACATAAAGAGGAGTTGTTGTACATGAAAAATGATGATGTTTGCGCATTAGCTGTTGCGGGCTTGGAAAGGAAGAAGATTTCTATTGATGAGGGTTTTAGTATCATTAGTCATTGGCCCCTTACACATGAGCAGAATGATTTTGTTTGAAGAACGCGGCTATAGCCTCTTGTTCCGTATGCTACCATGGAGGGGGCACCGTGACAGATTGACCACCCTCTTATGGAGGCAGTGAAAGAGAGATGGCGCCCAGAGACGATTATACTGTTTCATGCATTTTTTTCAGCTATATATGTGTATATGTAATTATTGTATATGTTGTCTAGTCATGGGTATTTGAGCATTTCAAAACATTGCAGTCTAAGGGAAGTAGTCGATGGGTTGAAGCTGATATCCCAAGGGCCGCAAATGGGATAACTCAGTTACTAATGTCGTATACTATCGGCATGAATTAGATCTCCTTGAACCTAAAAGGGTATAATTACAATGCTTATTAGTTAATATATTATTACACCTGATAGTTATTCATAAATAATCATGTATATTTGTTTATATATATGTGTTGTTACCCATTCATACAAGTATTATGAGCCCCCATATGCAAGAAAGAAAGACCATAGTGTTATACGTCATTTTTTGACGTATTTGTATCCTCAAGGCAAATAAGAAGAGAGCCAATAATAACTTGGTTCCATCGGTACACAAAATACCGCCAGACTACGAGAACACTGTAGCAATAAGCCTAAAACTAAATGACCTCTAAAGAAGTATCAAAATGGCTTAAATTGCACCAGAGGGTAGTTTGGAATACTCTAAGGACATGTAAAGTTTCGTCTTATTCTGATAAGTTTTGATATGATCAGAACGAAAATTGGTTTTTCAAATCTAGTTCCTCTCTATTAAAAAAGTACCTCATAATTACAACCCTATTTTCTGCGTCTCAAAACAATACCATACCACCTCCATTAGATTCGGAATATCGAAACACCGAAAAATTCGAACTTTGTATACACCCCAAGTCATCCAATTTGACATCTAATGGCTAGTAGCGATTGTGACCTCTTTTAACTAGTGTTTGAAGACTCACCGAGTCGAGCCAGATTCGCCCGGTTCGACTCAGGAATCGTCTGGTACCAAGCCAGTTCTACGAAAAAACTGGGAATCGGCCATGTCCAGAGAGAACCGGGCGATTCCCAATAGTGAATCGCAAGTCTCACCGAAAAATATTTTTTTTACACGTGCCCGCCTCATGAGAACGACACGTGGCCACAAGTGGCCATGTCATGGGAGCAACACCTGGTAACTCACATCACATGTTTTCCCCTTCGCTTTTCTACACGCACAATTGAGCACCTATTACACAAGACTTTATAGAGAACCAAGCAACACTCATCCTTCGATGTGGGATAATTCCCACAAAAAATCATTAAAGCAAGATGTTTGGATATATATTATTATAGAATAAAATAAAATCACATGAGGTGACGCGGTCGTGTTGGTTGAAAACTTGGATTTTGCGGTCGACATCTAGGGTTCGAACCCCTTAGCGCACAACCAAAATTTTTTTGAGTTCGAACCCCTTAGTGCACAACAAAAAGTTTTTTGAGTTCGAACGCCTTAGCGCACAACCAAAATTTTTTTGAGTTCGAACCCCTTAGTGCACAACAAAAAGTTTTTTGAGTTCGAACCCCTTAGTGCACAACAAAAAGTTTTTTGAGTTCGAACACCTTAGCCTTAGCGCACAACAAAAAAAAATTTAGTTCGAACCCCTTAGCGCACAACAAAAAAAAATTTGTTGTCAAAAAATAAACAAAGGCAGAAAATACTGTTGAAAAAAAATAGAAAAAAAATAAAATAAAAAGCTTTTCAACATAAAGATAAAAAGAATAATACAATATTTTTTTATTTTTCTTGTAAAAAAATATAATTTGTTGTCAAAAAAATAAACAAAGTCAAAAAATACTGTTGTAAAAAAATAAAAAAAATAAAAAATAGAAGGTTTTTCAAGATAAAGATAAAAGAGATAATACAACATTTTTTTATTTTTCTTGTAAAAAAAATACAAGGTAATATAACAAGTATTTCTTGCAAAAAAATAAAACAAAAGACATAAAAAAATAAAATGTCCTTTGGCAGCATCATTTTTTTATTTTTCTTGTAAAAAAAATAAAAAGTAATACAACAAGCAAAAAAAAAGGTAGTGCAACATCTTCTTCTTTTGTTAAAAAAAAAAAAGGAAGATAATCAACAAGTATCATATTTTTCTTGTAAAAATAAATAAAAGATAACACAATAAGTATTTCTTGTCAAAAAAATAAAAGGTATTTCTTAATACAATCTAGGAATAAATGGTCTAATTATATTTTTTATTTTTATAACATGATGGTCTTTAACATAAATTTAATAATATTAATTTAAAGATATGATTCATACAATGAGGCCATTTGAAATCTCTCTTTCTACTAACAATCTCTTCCACTAATTTATTCTAAAAAACCTAAAAAAATTAAAGAAAAAATTGGTACACATTCTAATAATTTCTACA